CTACTCAGCTCAAGGAAAACTAGCTAGACTCTTTTGTAGAAACCTTGGTTGTATACTTCTGGGCTGCTTTCACTATAGAAACTTCCCTTCTTTGTGTTCTGGGAGCTCCTGCTGGCTTCAGGAGCTTTACAGTTTAAAGGCCAGCAGATTCGCTCTTACTCCAAAAGCCCCTCAGTCTATGTCCCCAGGGATAGAAAGCATCCAAGCCTAGAGGTGATACTGAATGCATCATAGTGGAGTGAGGAAGACAAACAGAGCTCTGAGTTCTGCATTGGCAGGGGTAGAACTGAGGGACCTAGACACTCTGCCTTCTGATCTCAGCACTTACAGACCCTCCCCAGCAGTTCACCTCCCTCTGAAGAAGAGGTGGCTGTGGAAGTCATGTGATTTGGAGGGTCTGGGCTAGGGTCCTCAGTCTGCCTAACAGCAAATATTCACCAGATGTAGTTCTGGAGGTGGATCTTAGTGCTCTTAGACCCCGCCTAGTGGTTTACCTCCCTGTGGGAGAAGACTCTATGGAAGTCACAAGATTTGGAGGGTCTAGACTTTAGGTTCTTAGACCTGTCTGGAGTAACCACATGCCAGGATGCAGCTCTGGAGGCAGGCTTCAGTGCTTTCAGATCCTTCCTAACAGCTACCTCCCTGTGGGAAGAGAGAGTATGTGACAATCACATGACTTAGAAAGCCTGGGTTTGGGACTTTTAGTCTTACCTGGTAGTCATTACACATATCCTAGAGGCAGGCTCTGGAAGCAAAATACTGTGTCAGCCACAGACTAAGTGCTCCATTTCACAAACACCCTCAGGCCATGGGATTTGCTCCTCACCAGTGTGGGTGGGACCTTCAACCACCCTGTCCTTCACTGCTAGAGCTCCCCACAGCTTGAACTTCTTTAAGGATCCATATAGACCCTCTCCCTCTCCACAGCCACTTCTCGTGGTTGTCTCCCACTCAGAAACTGAGGCAGTGTGATCCCCTGACCAGTGATTGTTCCTTGTTTTCAAGTCCCCAGGGTAGCTTAGTCTCAAGCAACAGATGTTTTCTCAAGATGATGCCATGCTAAAGCTCTCAAAGATGAAGAAAGTGACAAATGTCTGCCTTCACTGAGAAAGGCACACCTGAGCAATCACTCTCTCACCAAATCCCCACACGGTATTTAAAGCTTGTGAGAATTGTGGGCTAGAATTGCCAATTTATCACCAGGGCTGTCTGGCTTACCTTGTTATTGCGTTTTCAGCTCTCCCCCACCCCAACCCCCAAAAGGCAAGGGTGAGTCTTGGAACTCTTTGCTACTTTTTTTTTTGTTACCTATGCTTCTCTGCGCTTTTCTACTGTCCTGCCACCTCTTTCATTATTACTGCTGCTCTATCTCTCTTCAGAATGTAGTCTCTCCTTTGTTACCTGGCTCTTCTTCATGGAATCAAAATGGGGGGTGGTTTTTAATTTGCCATCTTGAGCCAGTAACTAACTTATCCTCTTCTTGCTCTCTCTCCCCCTTCCCTTCTTTCTCTTTCTCTCTCTCTCTGTCTCTCTCTCTCTCTCTCTCTCTCTCTCTCTCTCTCTGTCTGTCTCATACACACGCGCGCATACACACACACACCTGGGATGTTAGCATGGAAAGGAAAATAATAGATAGAAATTCAGACAGGTACACATTTGACTACTTTCTTCACTTACATCATAATTTGAAATATAGGATGAGCATCTTTATTTCATTTGCTTTATCCAATTCATCATAAGAGTGAAAAGATGATATTCTAGGGAGATTTTCCTCCATTAAAAATATGAGTTTCTATGTGAGGATAAGTGGACATAAATGTCATACCAAATGTAAGAATTGTACTTTTCCACATGCAATGCTGACATGTAAAGGGGCTCATTGACTTTTACTGAATTAATACCTTCTTCTTTACTCAATTTGTTAACATTCTTAAAGGGCAGAAAAAATCCAACAGGAGGCTACTGTCTTTTATATATCCAGATGACTCTTTTGTGAACTCTTTAAAGAAGGTAGACAATCGTGGGAGCAGGGGAGAGAAATGACCCAAGCCTTGTATGCACATATGAATAATAAAATAAAATAAAAGAAGGTAGACAATCAATGTGAAGTCCACAAGATGGACTGTGACTTGTATCCTTCCTCTTTTCAGGCTCCCTTAGTCAATTTACACTGAACTTACAGAGTCAACACAATTCAAACAATTAACTCAAAAACAAAATGAATGCTTTCAAAGCCCACCAGATCTACATGAGTCATTTATTCACAGTATTTTCATTCATCATGAGTTGATCAAAATCAACAAAGTTTAGGAAAATGTATTGAACTTTTTAAGTGCCCATATAGACCCTTTCCCTTCATGCCAGAAGTGGCATGAAGAATGTGTCTGGAAATAGATAGGAATTGTTTTATGACCACAAAAAATATGAACACTTATAAGTAGAAGATACATATGCAACCAAGGTGATTGTTGAACTATCAATAAAATGCCTTAACCCAAAACAGTATCCAGACTCTCCACAAAGTCATTCTAGTGCATCAAACATTGAAAGTCCTAAAGGGACACAATCACAATGTCATAAAGAACAGAATTGCATGGTAATTTTGGGAGAGTCATAAAATAAAAAAGCCACTTAATCATCTAGAACAAATATTAAAGAAATATTTACTAGCAAAATCCAATGGGCTAAATAGAAAGAAAGAATAGCTGTGAGGAAGAAAGCCCCAATTCATGAAACAGGAGTTTTGGACCCAAGAACTAAACTCCTGAGATTCCTTACGCCAGGTCTTCAATGCCAAAAAAGAGGCATGGTGAAGGCAGAGAAAGGAGATTTATTTCACAGCTCAGGACATGCCATGGGGAAGAGACAGAGTAAGCACTCAGCTCATTTTCAGCCATCTTAGGGGTACAGACATGAGCTACATGCTTAAATAGAAGAAAGAACTGGGGGCAGGGGACAAGGGTATGTATACTTAAACAGTTCCAGTCACAGATAGTTGACCATCACCTCAGTCCAAGCATTCTGGGAGAGGTTCCAGGGGAGTTGTTATCTGGATGTATTGTCAACTGGCAGATGGTCCATCCTGAGGAAGGTTTACTGTTGGGGGTAATTTCTGTCCCTTTTCATAAAGATGTTATCATCTGTCTTTCTTGGGATCCAAAGTGATTGCAAAGCAACTGCAAAGAGAAGGACTCAGAGCAAAGGCAGATAGAAAATGGGGGCTGGAATGCTATGCTTTTCTCCTGTTATTAGTTAGTTCATAGGCCCAAGAAGGAGTCAGTGCTTTCATCAAAAGCAGCTTGAGTGCTTCTTCCATTGAGAGGGTGCAGTCAGTTCAATTGAAGCCATGAAGACTCTTCAAGTACATGCTACATATCCCACCACTTCACTTTGCCCACTTTGCCACTAACCATATTTATGGCACAGTTAAAAAGAAGTAGACTCAAAGGACAGAAAATGATTGTGTTTTGATGTCCAGGGGTTCTATTCACACAAACTCATATAAACCAAGCAGCAACAGTGATCTTTCCTTAAGCTTACCTCTTTGGGCCACTTGCTAACTCTGGTTTCTATACTCCTATGTAAGGCTTGTAGAGTGTCCCTATCCATTTACCTTTCCTTATACAACATTCAAACCACCACATCAGAGCAGAGGAGAATAAAAAACTTGCTTTTGCTGAATGATATTATTCTTTTTCTAATCAGACCATCTTTCCAGATTAAAGTCTTTGGTATATGCTGAAGACAACTGGTATCCACAAATCTTAAGGGCTTGTGTAATTCTTTTTTATATGTTTAGAAACTATGACTCAAAGCATGAGTAATGGGGATCAGAATGCTGGCTATCTTTAGATGAAGGGTCTATGGATATAACAAGAAAAATTAAACATCATTGTTCCTGTAAAATGCCAATTACAATAGTTTTCTATTCCCTTTTTATTATTTTATCTTTTAATTAACATACAAAATAACATATATTATATACATATATATGATGTTCAATATGTTGTGAAATATATGCATTGTGTAATGGATAAATTAAGCTAATTAACATATGCACTTACCCCACTTTTCCTTTCATGACAGACCTTAATTTAATTTTGTTTAACAAACACCTCATTCCAGAGGAAAAAGTGATTTTTTTAATAGAAATAAGCATATAATGTAAGTACCTAGTGCTCAAATAAATCTGGGGAAATGGTTGGGAGTATGATGAGTCAGAAAGCTGACCTTAAAAACCCCTTGTTTAACATGAAACACTCTGTTAAAGATAAGATGTGAGATGTGAGGTCTTCTCGATAGTGTGTGAGTAGTGCAACAAGAATGCCTTCTTCTATAATCAGTGGAATATCTAGCAAAAGATATTTTTCTATTTTGGGGAAGAGTCTTCTGCTTATAAACAACATCAAAAATTTAAACTTCTTGAACATAAAGGACAGTCATTTTTAAAACCACTAATAAAATTTGTGATTTAGGGGTTTTTGTTTGTTGATTTATTTTTGTACTTTGGAGGATTTTGTCTAAATTACCACTTTAGTTTGCCATATTTACATTCCTTACTGAAATCATATTGATTTACCACGTCAAATCAACTTGTTTTTACTGTCTTTTCCTTAAGAAAGTAATACTTCCAAAGCAACTCAAAATAACCCCAAATCTAAAAGTGGGTATCATTTCTGACAGGAATGCACTATCTGCAAATATTGGAGACTAAATCAGGTATCAGAATTTTAGAGCTCACGAAACTATCTCAACCTGTTTTTCCTGAAGAAGTTCATGAAATTTTCCTCAATAATTTTACCTTCCTGATGTTTATTTAAATAAAACCACTTTCCTGGAACACTGAATTAAGGCTCTTAACTAAGGAGTCTATAATATAATTTACTCAACCATCAGTCATCTTGGGTTGAAAGAGTTAGATTCTTTCTTACTGGAAACCTACCTGTACTTCAGGTTGGTACCTCTACTTATTCTGTCCTGACTCTTCCTTTATCTCCTAGATACACCAAGATGAAGACTGCTACCAACATCTATATTTTCAACCTTGCTCTGGCAGATGCCCTAGCAACCAGTACCCTGCCCTTCCAGAGTGTCAACTACCTGATGGGAACATGGCCCTTTGGAACCATTCTCTGCAAAATCGTGATCTCCATCGATTACTACAATATGTTCACCAGCATTTTCACCCTCTGCACCATGAGTGTGGATCGCTACATTGCAGTCTGTCACCCCGTCAAGGCTCTGGATTTCCGTACTCCCCGAAATGCCAAAATTGTCAATGTCTGCAACTGGATCCTCTCTTCTGCCATTGGTCTACCTGTGATGTTTATGGCAACAACAAAATACAGGCATGGTGAGTGATGCTGTAGGCCTCAGAGGCAGAGAGTTTACACCTTGATAACATGAACCAAGTAAAATTTATGGAGAGGTCCAGTATCTTTGTCAAAGTTAAATTACTCTTTCTAATAAAATGCCTTTTATTTTGAAATAGGAGTATTTCCCTGTAATTCAAGTCCACTAAACATTTTAAAGAGAATATAATCTATTTGCTTTTGATTTCTCTGAACTTACTTCATGAAAATGATGAGTAAATTTAAAAATAGATCTCCCCAAGGTAATTAGAGTTTAAACCCAAAGAGTGTCATACTGAAGATTGTTTTAAAATTTAAGTAGCTGCCTATCTGACAAACTCATCATTTTAGATCTAACAGAAGAATAATGAGCAACCTATCCAAAAGCGGGATGAAAACATCCATTGGCAGGAACCTCCTAAAAGCTGTGGACAATGACTATATTTTTATATCAATATAAATCCCACGGAGTCTGCTTCATGTTGAGAGGTTCATAATTGGTTCACTGAATGAAAGTTTAACATGATCAAAGTAGACAGCAAAATGGGAAATTTAGACAAAAAATAAAAAGTAACTTTCCCTGAAAATCAATAGAGTTGAATTTCTTCCACAGTTTCTTTAAATCTTTCCTTACTGGATTGTGTAGTAATAGCCTTAACTTAGCTCTGGTCAAGGTTATAAATTAGTAAGCAAAATGGCAATATTAACACCAATGATATAATTAAATGCATTATATCATTAAAATGCTAATTTTTCCTGAAAATTCTTTTCTTCTAGGCTCCATAGATTGTACCCTAACATTCTCTCACCCGACCTGGTACTGGGAGAACCTGCTGAAGATCTGTGTTTTTATTTTTGCCTTCATCATGCCTATCCTCATCATCACAGTGTGTTATGGACTGATGATCTTACGCCTCAAGAGTGTTCGCATGCTCTCAGGCTCCAAAGAAAAGGACAGAAACCTGAGAAGGATCACCAGGATGGTGCTGGTGGTCGTGGCTGTGTTCATTGTCTGCTGGACTCCCATTCACATTTATGTCATCATCAAAGCCTTGATTACAATTCCAGAGACTACATTCCAGACAGTTTCTTGGCACTTCTGCATTGCCCTAGGTTACACAAACAGCTGCCTGAACCCAGTTCTTTATGCATTTCTGGATGAAAACTTCAAACGATGCTTCAGAGAATTCTGCATCCCAACATCCTCCACCATTGAGCAACAAAACTCCACTCGAATTCGTCAGAACACGAGAGACCACCCCTCCACGGCCAACACAGTGGACAGGACTAACCACCAGGTATGTTGTTTCTAGAATGAAGTATGCTTACTGGGGGGGTGATACAAAAATCATAGCACTTGATATCACTCCAGGAGTTTAATCCCTTAGAAGTTCAGTAACTAGGGGACTGAGGTTCAGCCTAAGAATGGAGGGACCAGGGGAGCAAGTTGTGATCATAGTGTCAAAAAGAAGCTCTGTTTTATAAATACACTCTAGTTTATTTGTATGTGCTCATTTAAGTATGAACTTATACCAACTAGAAGTCCTTAAAACTGCTAAAAGTCACTACCTCCATGGCCTTCTATTCCAAATTAATAATGTTAGCATATTGTGGAACCAATCTTGATCTAGAATCTTTCTCATTTTCTCCAGAATATTCTGTATTTCAAAGGTATCAGAAATATTCTGTATTTCAAAGGTATCACCCCAATGTCAGTGTCACTTCTTAAAAGCTAGTCCTCCTCCAATTCTGTGGTTAAAGATCCTTGTCCACAGGTACAAGAAATTTGAGAAAATCACTGTCACAGCAAAGGAGAAAAGAGCCAAGAAGATTGGCCAGCCCAACTCTGGTTAAGTCATTAGTTTGTAGATGCTGATATGTGAACTCTAGAACAAATATCAACATCATGTCCAATTAATTTTGTAACAGTCATCATGCCATTTGGAATGATGCTGAAAAGGATGACTGTATTTTGGGCTTACATTCCTATGCCCAGAAGAGTACAAGATAGGAGCCTACGTGACAGATTTAAGATTTACACACAGTGTTATAATGGCACAAGAAGTCAAAAAGGAGGAAAGAGAAAACCCTGTCTCCAAGTTTATATTGTCTTGTCATGTCATTGCTTTTCTGTGACTTGATTGACCTATAAAGTCAATCAAACATGACTTTATTATTAACTCAAATAAGCAAATTTTACAATAATGGTGTGCACATCCCAAAATCATAGCATTATAACTTTATGATGCAGAACTTAAATTCAAACTTCCCATGTAGTAAATATTTGGGTGAGAACATTGGGTAAAGTTTCCTGACTCAAAGGTCAAGTGGACAAAATGAGTAATAATTCCAGTCCAGAGAAGCCAGACAGAGGCCTTGGCTACTGTAGGACAGTGACACTTCCTCTTCACCACCTCCCATCTCACTGTGCCCTTGTACCTCAGCTACTGCCCCTTCCCAGTGCATCCCAGGATCACCTTTTCTAATTGCCCACAAGACTCACGTAATACAACCCAGACGGATCTACCTTAGGGGACATTAATTCTCATACCCAGATATGAACTATTACTAAAATAAGGTAACTGGTACTCTCATAAGAGTATTCTATAATAATGGCAGATCCACTTCCACTAAAAGGAAATTATTAACTGTTATGTCTCGCTTCTAATCCTGTCTCAGAAATAAAAGCCAGAAAGAAATGGCTTTCTACTCTCTTTGTTCTCGCTTATTTTTTTCCACATCAAGACCTCTAAAGCTGCTGCTTTTACTAAGCATCTTTTTTTCATGGCTATCAAAGTCTTATGAGTCACTTTAAAAGGATAGGGATTTAAATTGATTTTTACCCAATCAGGGGATGGATTACATGTTAAAGAATGCCGCCCAAAGCCCTGGGTCTTAAGCTAGGGTTCAAATCCTTTGCTCTGGAGTAAAATATTTCCATTGGGACAAGATGACCGTCATGAGAAAATATCGCTTTCCCCCTCAGTACCTCTCTGTCTTCTGGGCTCTTTAGGGTGTGGCTGCTTGGTAGTGTACTCCAGGCCACTGTTGGGACTGCTTGTCATATCTGACCCTCTCAGCCTCTCTCACTGGCCTCCTCCTTGTGGAAGCACCACACCCAGCTTGTCTGGTGGGGCATGAGTTAAACTCATCTGCCCTTCAGTTGCTGCCACACTGCCTTTGACTCCCTTCCAAATGCAGCGTTTTCACATCAGTTTGGTTCTTCCTCAGCCAGAGAGAGAAAGGATGCTAATTGGAGAAGTTCTGTTCTAAGTAACTAAAAGGTTTGCTTTAAAAATACATCCAATTAGAGCTTATCTTCCCCCACTGCCTCTGTGAAGTGGCATCGGTGTCAGATAATAGCAGAAACACATTATTCTGAAGTTGGCCGCCTCCCAAATGCCCAGCTGTGAGAGCTGGACAGAGAAAAAAGGCTGCTAGGAAAAGTGGAAAAGACATCCTGACATATTAAAAATTAAGATCAATCAAAGATCTCAATCCTAATTTCTACTGAAGTGTCATGATTAGGATAAAGGCAATTTCACACAGTCAATGGTGATCATTTCAGTAATACGTATCAAAATAATTCAGTTTGAGGGAGAAATCATAAACTATATGGCCATGTCTATAGTATTTATTTGATTAGTTGTACAAATTCAGAATCTGATAAACAGGTGTTTTGTTATTGTGAGGTTTTTGTTTGACATCATGATCCATTGTGTTACAAAACAAAGCTAATGGGATTTCTAGTAATGTTTCAACTACTTGTTAGAAGCTTGTTATGGTTAGAGATGTTTTGTCCTATCTATGTATTCGTATTTTTTTCCAAGGAATATATTATACTATCTCTGTCACATTTTAAGCACATTAGTTAACTTCATATTCTGCAGATCAAAGATCCAATATCAAAGCTTCCCAGGGTGTCTGTTTTCTGACAACTGTACACTGAGGCCATGTCCACACAGCGCAAAGTGAAGTGGCAATGTAGCAGTTATCCAGGTAATTTGATAAGCCATATGAGAAAATTCTGTGCCCAGAATAAGCTTTCAGCTATATTTACATAGTTAAGGGCATCTCCTGCTTTTTCTACAAAACAAGTGATTCCAAAATTTACTGACTTGAAGCAACCATTTATTTAGATTAGAATTATATGCATCAGTAATTTGAACCAGGCTTGCCTAGAGTATTCTTCCAGTCTTAGATGGGCTCACTCTGTAGTGGGTCACCACATGGGCTATTAGCTCATCCATGTAGGACAGACAGCCTCAGCAAGAATGGCCGGCTCCAAATGGCTCGCAGGTTCTTCTGAGAGAGAAAGAAACAGGAACAAAGCTTCTTGAGGCCCAGATTCAAAACTGGCAAAAGTCACTTCCATGTTTTTCATAGGTCAAGTCAAGTCACCACAGCAACCTTGATTCAATGAGGGAGGAATAATAGACTCCATCCCCAGCTGATCCAAGCTATAGTCACATTGCTAAGGAACATGAGTATGAGGAGAGGGGCTACCCATTGCTTCCTGAGCAGAAGCACATCTGTCTTGCTCCTTTTTGTCTACCTACCGTGGTGTCTGGTACATTGAAAAGTAGTCCAAAAACATCTGTTGAATGAATGAGTGATGGGAGAACTCATGGTATGTCAGAAGTAGAGGATGGGGAAATGATCTCTTTCTTGTGCACCAAGTAACAACCAAAGTGACTGTATTATACTCCGACATTAATTCAGGCTCATACTTAAGGAACAGGAAAATATTCACAGTAGGTCTTCTTCATTCTTCTCCCCCCAGACTTTGGTGTTCTGATCATAAATTGTACTTTTCACTTGTTTTCATATGTACCTGATAGTTGTTTGTTTGTTGAGACAAGGTTTCACTGTATAGCTCAGGCTTGCCTCAGACTTTCTATATAAACCAGGCTGACCTCAAATTCATGACCCTCCTGCCTCTGTCCCTCAAATTCTGGGATTGCATGCATGTACTGTGGGCCCAGCTTTCAACTAGTGGGCTTGATGAGACCAAGAGCTGAAGTCAGTGTTCTAAAGAGTCTTGCACTGACTATGAAGGAGGGGGAGGGAATGTTCGCCTATGTTTTTTGTTCATTCCAGGGCTGGCTTAGTGCTCCGGTTGTAGCATCCATGCCTGATTTATGTTCATCTTGTTGTCTTTGTGGCTTCTTGGTCTTTATTAGGTAGACCTAGGCATAAGCATTTATTTTCCATCTGCTCTAGTACAATTGAATTTGTCTGCCCTCATGCTATCCTGCTGCTGTCTTGTTGAACTCCACTTTGCTTCCCCAGTCACTGACCACTGCAGGTCCAAGGTAGACCTGAAATGTCGTTCCCTGCTCACCTGCCCTCCCTGCTTGGTTATACCCCAAACTTACTCTAACATGCATTTTCTTTTTTGGCAGCTAGGTGATGTTTGAAAACATTTCACATTATGTAGGAAGAAAAGCAGTTCTATTATATCTAATAGATAGGTAACTATTTAAATACTGACACTATAACCATAAGATAGACTACTATGACAGCCTAGAAATTAAGAGTGATTTCATTTCATGTGCATCATCACATCTGTTTACCATAACAACCCTGATGGGTTAGCATGAATAAATGCTCATGAAGGTCAAATGGTTATAGAAGGAGAAACAACTAGTAAAAGGCACAATCTAGACAAGCACCCAGACTTCCAATATCAGTTCAAAGCTCCTCTGGTTCCCATGCTATGGGCTTTTCAATTAGTATTACATGATCTCAGCCAGATTCTCAGACTTTACTGTGAGCTCCACAAAAATCTAAGCTCCAAAGAATTCCTTGAAGGCATTATAGCTCATTGTGTAAGGACAGAGGTCAAGAATCTGCATTTTGAACAACAAAAAAAAGACTAAACTGCAGGTTCCAATTTAAACTGTAGCTTTATCTCCAAATACTGCCATTTGTATTGGTTTGTGTACCTGGGGTAGCTATTGAATCAAGCTAATTGATATGAATTTTTTCACCAAATGAACCATGAGCTTTGCAAAATAATCTAGTTATCTTTGAATAAAGCCTTAACTTTCTAATATATCCCTCAGTGAGCATTACATAACAAAATCATGTAACAGCAGTAAAGCTAACATTATGGCATGCCCTGCTAATCCCCTGTCTGTCAAATGGCAACTCCATTCCTAATGCCTGGATTGCCGTTTTTAAAATACTTTCTTGACATTTCAATCAAAGGAGCATGTCAAGAAATTAGGAGATGCTTGCATTTGAATTAACTATACAACAATATTATCCCCAGCTAAACTAAAGACAGAGGCTT